CTCTAACTCTAGAAACTAACGCCGCGGGGGCTTCCCACTCGGGTTTGCGCTGAGGTGGGCGTGAGCCGCGGAGAGAAGGGGGTGAAGAGTAAACGCAATCTCGGCGGTGCCTGGCGGAGGCGGCGCGAGTCTGGTGCGGGGGGCGGCGGGGAGATCGGAGGCGGGAAGCGACCCCGCGCTGGCCTCGCTCGAACTCCTCGCCCTGTGGCTGCCTGGATGTGGGTCCGTGTTTGGGGCGTCTGACGCGGCTTCTCGGCCTCCTCCCGAGGAGGACGGGGGAGGCCAGGAAGCCTAGGGACGTCCCGATGTGGGTGCCAGGCTGAGACACGGCCCGGGCAGGGCGCTGCACCTCTGGGCGCCCCGCACCCCACGGGGACGAGAAGCCAACCTCGAGCGCTCGGCTGTGCACCGAGGCGAGGTTGAAGATCCCCTCCCCGTCCCAGTGGAGGGAGGGGGGATCTCCTGGACGAAAAAGGGTTCCTCCCACCCCCATCTTCAACCCAGGACTGGATCTGGGGTCTATTGTTCGGGTCCTGGGGAGCTGGGCTGCGGCCTTCCCCCGAGGTGTTGCTGTCACCTGCTGGTTCTCGCAGGAAACACAGGAGCCGGCTGGAATGAGCTCTGGTCACACGTGCACACACCCCTCCCCTGTCACTCGCGCGCGCGCGCACACACACACACACCTCCCCTGTGACCCTCGTTGCATGCCTTCTTTTCGCGGATTCAAAGCCACAATTAGGGGAGCCACTAGCTGCAAACAGGCTGATCAGAACCCGTCCTTAAAGAACATTCGGAAACCAAAGAGGATTGTGAAAGAGATCTGAGTCAACAGACACCAGAAATGAAACAATGAAACTCATTGAGGCACCTGGGAGGAGAAACAAGCTTTAATGAATTCGCTGAATGAGTGACAGGAAAATAGTTTTTAAAAAAGAAAGAAAAAAGAAACAACAACGACAAAAGAACTGAACAAGTTCTCACTTGGCAGGGGTGGGGGGTGGGGGGGGGGCTTTTCCCTTCCTATGGGGAGCCAGTTAGTACACCTGATGATTCTGGATCTGGACCTCCGTCCAAACTCTATTTGCACTGCTGTGTCTTAACTGTTGGGTCCCCGCCCCCCCCCAAGGTTCTTGATAAAAGACTCGTCTTCATTTTCTCCAAAACCTTCAAAGAGTTTGTCCAAAAAAAGAAACCCACCCTGAACTTAATTTGTATTACATAACCCACAATTTTATCTATCTATAGTTATCTATATCTAATCTAATCTATGGAATTTCATGCTGTGGGTTGAACATGCTAAATAGGCACTTTTCTCCAATCCTTCCTACACACACACACACTATGCCTGATTGCTACAAATCTCTAAGTCCTTTAAAACTTTTAAAAACTAGTAAAACATATGACTAAATTATTTTAAAATAAGACATATCCACAAAACCAAAGCATAGATATTTCTTTATCAAACCCAGAAATTTCAGGAGAAATTTGCAACATTCAGAAAGAATACCAGCATTCCTCCACCCGTGACATATCTCATAATAGGTGCTGGAGGTTGCAAGTAATGTTTTTCCATCTGAGGCTAATGTCATTAGTTATTTGTCTCAGGTTAAAAGTTGGGAGGTATCTCGTTTTCAAGGAAAATGCCATTGTACTCAGGATGTAGAGAGATTACACTTGGCCTGTATCTTCTTCTATGTGTTTCCAAACCCAAGCCTTCATGGTGGGTGGGAAGTGCAAAATGCACCTGTTAAATTATGCTGCAATCTGTAGCTATGGAACAGCAAAGCAATGCATTCCTTTTGAAAGTTGAGCACAAATCTGCTATGGTCTGCTTCAAACGCTCGGCACACATTAGGTGCTTAGCAGTATTCTAGAAAGATAAAATACAAAATAACAGTTAAAGTTACTCAGTTTAGTGCTGAAGGTAGGATTTGATAAGGTGTGTACCTAATAGAATGCATCATCTCCAGCACCCACAATAAATATGATCCAAAATGGTCTCCAGATTAGAAAACTCCAGGTGGGGTGAAATGACTTGTTAATTTCTTCAGCTTCTTTTTTCTCCCCCTCTTAAGTTGCCTCCTTCTTGGGCTTTTTTTCTTCATTATCTATCAATCCTGAAGGATGAACAGTTTTCTACTTCTTTATTTCCCCTTAGAACAGCAGATGCAAGTTGATGTTATTATAAACAAAGAGCTTTACAAGTAATTTCAGTGATAAGAAATCTAGCAAAAAGCAATAAAAGAATTTCCTAATCTTTCAGATCTCTTCATTTCAAAACACAAACTATAGCTCCCAATACACGGCTTCACAGGGGTTCAGGCATTTACAGCACTGTTTTGGGGCCCTGTGGCTCTGAAGTCTGGCGCCTCCAAACATTTTTGCCAATAAAGGCACCAAATACCCATTTATAATCTCCCCGTACCCCCATAAATTCCTGCTCAGAATCTTTGAGAATGTTCTCCTATGATACTGGTTTTGTTTGAAAGACCAAATGAGGTTGGAGATGATAGATAGGTAAACCATTGAAGACAAAGACATTAAACTCACCAGGGAGTCTTAGCGATAGGCTCAAAGTCCAGGAGTTTCACTTGAGGTCTGGTCACTCAACCCCATATGCCAAATAAAGAGACATGGTAAAGGGCAGAGAAAGGAGATTTATTACACGGCAGACATAGGAAGACAGTACTTCAGTACGCTTTCAGTTGTTTTCAGAGGCACAAACACTGGCTTCAGATTAAATAGGGAGGATTGGGGGCAGCGAGTGAGTAAGGTATGCAGAGTTAACACAGTTCTAAATCTCAGATGTGGCTTGGTTGACCACTAGCTCAGTCTTTGTCCTTAGAGGAGTTCTGGAGAAGGCATATCATTTTATTACAGGAACAAGGTAGTCTCCTGAATTTTGGGTTGATTGTTTTAAGGTAATAGGAAGGAGCTGTTGCCTATTTGAGGGGTAATTTGCCTCCCACACAAGATGGTGATCAAGTCTTCTCTTTCCTGCTTAAAACAAGGCGATTGTGAAGTTTACTACTGCAGCAGGGAATAGATTGGATCAAAGGGCACGGATATAAAATTGGAGGACTTTTAGTTCAGTCACAGAACCCAGCACAAGCATCTTTCAAGTAGCCACTTAAATGAACACTTTGCTATTACTTTAACCAAACAACACTGAAAAGGTCTTCAGAGCTATCCATGCACAGAGAGAAAGAAGGCGTTCTACCGTCACAATAGAAATGATCTGTGTAGTTGGGGGTGACTGCCATTGCATAAATGGGAAAGTTGTGTCCTAACAATTGAAAGAAATTAGATAACCCAGGAGTGTAAAAATGCCGTACAGAGGGATCACAGTTACATGAGTAAGGTAATGAGTACATTTCCTATGGGGCATTGCTACCTCCTCCTTTGTTTTTCCCCTACCATCCCTTCCCTTCCCACCTCCTGCCCCTGCCACCCAAGTTGTAAAGTTCATTTTCAACATAGTATCTTGTACCTCTAACTGTTACCATGGGTCAACCTGTGTCCTTATTTCAGAATTTTGTTATTTCCCTTCCCTTCCCCAAATTAGAAAATTGTATATACAAGATACAGGGCATCAACATCAAATACAGTGAAAACAGGGGTTATACCAAACCCCTACTCTACTCAGAAACTCTACTCATCGACTCTCCTTATATAGAATTGACCAGAACTGTATCACATAGTCATGCATACCTGTAAAAAAAAAAAAAACCTGAGCAATATAAACACCCAATACAATTAAAGCTATATTAGTGAGAAAGCAGACACAATATTAGCTTGAGATCCAGCAGCCTTTGCCACAAAACAAAGTGACCACAGTCTTCTCTGTCTTGTCCTGCTGTTGATAAAGATGGAAGCTTTTTGTCGGAAACCTTTGCTGATATTTCCTCCCCAAACCAACATCTTTAACATAGATATGTTAAGGCTTAGAAGAGATTCCTTGGAAGTAGTGGAGTAAATGGAAACCCTAGGAGCCTTCCGCCACTGAAAAAGTGTTACCAGCTTAAAAGAATGGAAATGAGTGTCTTGGGGTTCCTCGTATAAACAATAGGTGGTAAACGCATTTGAGAATTTAGTACTATTTCAGTACTATTTCGGACATGTCCCCCGTGCAGATCAGGACTGATCAATACTCTGCACCATGTTGTGTCTCTTTCCTCATCTTTGTCTTTTTCCAGCAGGTCACCGACATGAGCACTCAGGTGCAGTGCTTTCCTCTAGCTCTGTGGTGCTTTCCGAACGTGCCCCGTTCCACAGCAGGAACTCTCACCTTCATGTCTGTGGGATCTGCAGTAAAGCTCTAGAGTGGCAGAAATATTTCCTGGAGCTCAGACTCCTGGGTTTCCCTTAGGTGACATATCTCTCTTTTCATCCAAATAAGGCTCTGAGGAGCTACCTCGCCAAAAATCTAAGCACTAATCGTGCAGTGCAGTAAGGCACTATGAGTAAATAATGGAAGTTGGAGTCACCTAAAACTCTAGGGCAAAATGGAAAAGAGAAGGTCATAACTTTATATTCTTAATGAATTAAAAATGGATGTGGAATTTATAAGATTATT